ATCTAAATTTTGTTATGATGATATATGCACATATTAATCAGATAAATTTTCAGTTCAGAATAAAACACAAAAAAATGCCCAATTTTGAATAAAAACATGTGATAAAAATGCTACTGTGCTGTAACATGAAAAATATCTCACCATACAAATGTAAGACCAGTATTACCAGGTCCATTTGATTTCAATACTTGTATAATCTCTGTCTTGTTCTTTCCATTTGCTGTTTCAATGGCAAATACTGATGCAAAAGTAGTCATTCCATTTAATAAACTGCAGAAATAAAAGGTATGAAACAAAACAAAAGAAATAAACAATAGAAGAAACTTAACACATAACTTTTTATGCAGGTACTAAATAAACTGAAATATACAGGTAAATTTTCATAAAAAGATTGTTTATCCAAATATGGAATATGTTTATTCAAATATGGAATATGTTTATCCAAATATGATACATGTTTATCCAAATATGGAACATGTTTATCCTAACATGGAACATGTTTATGGAACATGTTTATCCAAATATGGAACATGTTTATCCAAATATGGAATAGATTTATTCAAATATGGAATGTTTATCCAAATATGGAACATGTTTATCCAAATATGGAACATGTTTATCCAAATATGGAATAGATTTATTCAAATATGGAATGTTTATCCAAATATGGAATATGTTTATCCAAATATGGAATATGTTTATTCAAATATGGAATGTTTATCCAAATATGGAATATGTTTATCCAAATATGGAATGTTTATCCAAATATGAAATATGTTTGTCCAAATATGGAATATGTTTATTCAAATGTGGAATGTTTATCCAAATATGGAATATGTTTATCCAAATATGGAATGTTTATCCAAATATGAAATATGTTTATCCAAATATGGAATGTTTATCCAAATATGGAATATGTTTATTCAAATGTGGAATGTTTATCCAAATATGGAATATGTTTATCCAAATATGGAATGTTTATCCAAATATGAAATATGTTTATCCAAATATGGAATATGTTTATCCAAATATGGAATATGCTAATTGTAAAATATGGTCAGCTTGTGATAATGTGGATGTAACATTTTTTGAAGGACTCTGATTAAAAAAGTTCACCTCTACAAAATATTGTCAGTTTTCCTGGTTCATTAAATTTTTTGAAAATTAAAAGTGGATTATGCCAAAATTGAGTGCATTTGTTTGAAACCTGCACCTTACAGAAGAAAAATTATGCCAAGTTTGCCACATATGGTAGAAATGAGAAATATTAGTTTTCTGTTTTAAAAGATATTTTAATCATTCAACTTTTAATGTATTTATCTGAAAGCATTAAACATTACAGCTTGTTGTGAAATTGAATAATCTTAAGTCCCCTGAGACAAGAAGCATAACTTGCGGGGGCGGGGTTTACATTACAGTACCTAACTAAGTTGTTGGCTGTAGGTATACCCGTTGATATTTTAACAACACCATTTTCTCTGGTCATATGTGTTGCATAGGACAGGAATTCACCATGTCCGACTCCGGTATCCCAGGCATTTTGACTTATTGCTTCCATCCACGTCACCGGATCAGACAATAAAGCTGAAAACAATAGTTTATGAAAATAACCTACATGTGCTGATATATAAATTGACATTGTCTTTCAAATAACCCAGTTTCATAATTCTAATTATACTAATCTGTTAATAAAAAGTGCAACAATCAAAAACGTTTATTAATCTCTTCAGCATGACGAGAATACAGCGAAGTATGTACTCAGGCAGTATGGTAATTGAACATGTCAGTCAATGCAATAAAGTACGGTACTGCCCGAATGTGTAGTTCACAAAATTCATGTAATATTATTATACAATATCATAATTTAGTGAGATATAACACAGCCCAAAATGTCAGCGAAATTTATTTATTTAAATCAGTAGCCAACCGAAAATTATGCCCATTTGGTTCAAAAATAACAAATAAATAACAGAATATAAAATATATGCAAAATGATGCACTAAAATTCTTGGATTCGAAAAATTTAAGAAAATAAGATTGAAATAAACAATTAATGCTTACCCCAATCTGGAGAAAATAAAAATCTGAGACCAAGGTTTGAAAATTCAAGTGTCATGGCCCAAATAAAATTGAATAATAGTAAAAGCAGAAATGTTGGCACTAGTATGGTGTTGGCGATTTCAATACTCTTCACGGACCATAGGACGGATATACTTGCTATCAGTGCGGCAAGAAATGTTGTAAAATACGTCCAACTGCTCTGTAAATGAAATAAGTATCACATATAAATCTTAAATGTGTGTTGCGTACAATATCACTGGACATGAACATAACATTGTGTTGACTAGATTGCCTTGGTGATAAGACTGTGTTAACTGGATTGCCATGGTGATAATGAGTGATAATTGTGTGCATGAGATTGCCATGGTGATAAGACTGGAAAAACTGGATTGTCATGGTGATAAGACAGTATGGACTGGATTGCCATGGTGATAAGTCTGTGTGGTTTGGATTGCCATAATGATAAGTCTGTGTGAACAAGATTGCCATGGTGATAATAATTTTATATTGTGTGAACTGTAAATTGCCATGGTAATCAGATTGTGTGAACTATATTGTCATGGTGATACGACAGTATGGGCTGGATTGCCAAGGTGATAAGACAGTGTGGTTTGGATTGTCATGGTGATAAGTCTGTGTGAACTAGATTGCCATGGAGATAGGATAGTGGGCGAGATTGCCATGATGTTAACTGGATTGTCATGGTGATAATATTGTTTGAAATATATAAAATGGATTGTGTGATAAAGATTGCCATGGTGATAAGACATGTGAATTAGATTGCCATGGTGATAATAAGACATACTGTATTTAGCTCCTACCTCAGTGTAGTTATCAAATATAGCCTGACTGGCAGTTTCATTTATGGGAAGGTCATTAAATATGAAATATTGAAAGTAATATAAACTCCATCCACAGAGAGTGCAATAGTAAGACCTGCAAATAAAAAATAAAAAATAAACAGTGGGAACTTCAGTTTTAGCAATATGTAACAACAGCAATAAAGAAAGCCTCCTCAACTAGGCGAGTGTAACCTAACTACATTTTCTATCATTTTTCTTGCGTCTGAATCCTTTACAGAAAAAAAATATTGTGGTTAGTTAGTGCACCTGACAAGCCACAGGAAGCCACAAACCGTCAGTTCATGTGAATTGAAATAATCTATTAGTGACTGCTTCAAGACTTACACAGTCTGATTGTGCTTGAGTGTACCCAATAGTTTCTGGATTATGTTTGAATGTATAATTGTTAAAAACTATGACTGGAGTTATGACATAAGAACTGTAATTTATGTTGTGATATGATACCACTTTCACATATACTCTCAAGCAAAGATCCCGGCATAATTAAAGAACTTATTATATTTACACAACACACAAAGATTTATTTAACATTTAAATACTAGTTACGAGCTTTTTATAATATTTTTACATGTATCTTGTTATTATTTTAAAACTCGTTTTTTGCTGTACTTATCTTTTTACACGGAGGCAATAAAGTTATTATTATTATTATTATAAATCAGATCCATCAAAAATGCTTCTTGCTAATAGCTTCCAAATAATATGTTCTGCAAAGCTAATTTTAGAGTATCCCATGATTGGAGTGAAATGTAACAATAATAATTTCTAACCAATGAAGATTGCTACTAAATGAAATGTAATTTTATAATCATATTCAGGTCATACTTACGATATTCCTAAGGTTCCAACAACAATCAGTCCTCCACACCACATATTTTGTGGACCAATCAGCTTTCTGAAAGAATCTACAACACAAAGCTTGGTGTAACGACCGGTCGCATATTCCACCAACATCATCGGCATGGACCATAAAAACAGGAAAAACAACCAAATAATAAGGAAATGAAGTGCTCCTGAAAGAAAAGAAATATAACAAGTCAGTGACGTAACAACTCATTATGCAATAATAAACAAAACAACAAGCAGCCTGTAAGCCTGACAACTTCACGTGAGTTGCACCCACCACTGTGCTCCCTACACACGCCTGACAGAATGATGTAGTTTTTCACTTCCCCCAACGATTTTTTGTTGGTACCAATCAAATTGCAGGAACGTCAGATAGCGATAGCCATCAAAAAGTAACCATTCCGTTTATTTCCGTCCAATGTACCATTACCACCAAAATGAATACTAGTATTCATTGAAACTCACTGCAAGAAGGTGTGATCTTTGAATTCACAGTATTAATCCTTCTAACGAAACACTATTCTGTCAGGTGTTAGTGGCGTCTGATGCTGTTCGGCCGGCGAGGGTGCCACTCACACTATATCTGATCGATCTCAACATGAAAATATCACTTTTTCCTCAGTTTAAGCCCAACCCCTTAGTTATTGACATATTGTCATGTCGCTTGGATGGCGAATTTAAATGGCAATAAAAAAAAAGTAAAATTCACATATTCGGCACTATTTTCCCTCTTGGAGGAAAACATTGATAGACTCTGCATAAGGGTATGCAACTATAATGATAAATATGGTAAATTGGTGTTCTGAAATCGTTGTGCACAGGTGGCTATTTATTTTTATTCTAAAGTGGTTCTTAAATAATTAAATTTGTGCTTTTATTACGACTTTTGATGAAAACTGTTTCATCCATTTTTTCTAAGTTCTGACAAAAAAAAAAAAATGAAAAACACACCAGAGATATGAATATTTTTATTCTGGGCCTATTTTGTTTATTTTGGTTACCATACCACAGTGATACTGTTCATGGACCCCGAGACATTATTGGTCAGAATATGCAATTTTGACCGACATGCACATGGGCCTGTAAATAAAATTATTGAACTTCATAGACACATATCTTGTTATCTATAACTGTGCTGATGACATGAGGTTATTGCGAGAATACTGCAAAGCATGCACAAAGGCAGTACAGTGTAGTGAAGGATGATGCATTCCTGAACTGCCTGAGTGCATACTTTACGGAATTCTTGTGATAACTTTATACACTTTTTTTCTGCATGTAATAATGATTTAATGAGATATAACAAATGTGCTGCGCTTTGTATTAAAACGTTTGCATTCCAGGACGTTATTCTATTACAGTCACACTATAAGAATTCGTAGTCCAATGACAACAAAAGCAAGTATACAAATGTGATGTGAGAATGATGCACATTTTCCCTTCTGTGACACTTTCGTACAATGTTTTACAGAGATGAAATCTATTGTTTTCAGTGTGGGAGATTTAATCATATTAATAATTAATAAAAATCAAGAATACCTCCTTCACCGCTATTATTGGCGACTATTCTTGGAAATCTCCAAATATTTCCAGTACCAACCACACATCCCATCAGAGATAGGATCATGCCAATGGTTGAGCGAAACTGACCACGTGGCTGTGAAAGAAACAAACAATAAATTCATTCTAAACCTACACAACTCAGTTGTCATAGTAACTGTGGCAAACATTAATATCAATGGAAAGATACATTATTTGTTAGAAGCTTATTACTACGGTAACATTAGACTGAAAAAGCCATTTACAACCATAACAACATGAAACAATTATAAATTTGAAAACTGCTGTTGACCAACCAGAATGATCGCCTTGACGTCACTACGGATAAATGCACGATCCTGAGACGTATGACCCAGTTTGTCTGCGTTGACCAGAATCTGATTGGCTTTGTGGCACATCATCAACACCACATGAATTATAATAGGCAATACAATTGGATTTGAGAGAAATGCTCAGTTATAAATTAGTTATAAAATATGTGAACAGCTTTTCTGAAAGCACTGTACTAACTTGTCAAAACAAAATGATGAAGTTGTGTTAAACATCCACATACATTTTCATCATAATCATAGAATAAATTCTGTTATTGGGGATGTGGGATGGCTAAAACTAAACCATGCTGGGTCATACAGACAGATGATTTGGTGCTGTATTCACAAGTTTGAATCACACCTGCCATACTAGACTAGCCACTGTTGGGGGGATTTTTTCAAACATAGGTGTAATTTTTAATTAAAAAAAATATGTTCCCCACTCGCAGCAAAATCGATTTCTTTCCCAGTCACGCTAGTTTTCGTGATCGCGCTAAAAAGGCCAAATTGACAATTAATTATATTTTTTCTTTGTAAAACAAAAAAAGAAGTCCTGACTTTGCCAGGCTACTGCCATACTTTATATAGCATTTACTTTTTAAGTATTTTTTTTTTTAATGTAAAATGCCAGGTTTAGTTCCTCGTCAATCAATTATTTAATTTGATATGCTCCCATGTATTCTTTGCAATCTGTTATTACACCACGGGATAAGGTGAACCTCCATATAAGTAAACTGTGTAATCAATTGGCCTGCATGGTTGTGTTGCACATACTCAGTTACTAGACTTCCATCTAGGGGATGCCAAGGGGCCAAATAAAAGGTGAATGATGAGTCATGTAGCTGGGTAATTACTGGTGCCATGATTGCCAGTTCCAATCACACCTACAATAGTTTTCTATAATTCATAAATTAATTGGAGGTAAACATATTCTTAATTTGGCAGATCATGAAATCAGTTTCATTACTGCACTTTTCAGAGTGTCTATAATTTAAAGAAATTTGTTGGAAACATTTTCTTTCATCGTATTTTTTTACAGAGAGTAATTGCTTAATCTGAATATTACCTAATTTAATTCTAATTTAATTTTTACATAAATTCAACTAAGCAATATTTGAATTTAAAATTTTATTTAAGGTAGAAGTCTACTCGTAATTTTTGAGAAAGTTGGGTTTTAAATCATATGACAATGTTCATTAGTTTATTATGTAAAATCATGGATTTATTGCCTCATTGCATCAAGAAATTCCATTCTTTTGTGTGTTACAGTGACATATTTTGAAAAACTTGCTCTAACATTTTTCCAAAATTGCTATTTTTAGAACAATTCCATAGAACACAATGTTAAAGAAAAATTCCATTATTTGACATTTTTTAAAAAACAGATTTCTGATATAATTCAGGACAACAAAGTACCAATCATTAGCAATATATAATCTTTTCAACTTATGACCAACCTACAATTTGAGATATATTTAAGGTCTATGTTCTGCCATAGGAACCCATTGTAAAATGCAACAATCATTTTCAAAATAATTATGCTTGTGTTCCTAGCTTGTTTAAAGTCAATATCCTTATATTACCAGGGAGTACAATTTATTGCAAAATGAATAAATTCTTGGTATTTGCATTTATGAGTAGGCTTCTACCAAGCACTGCAGTTGCAGTGAATGTTTGGATTACAAGTCTGCAGATGTCAATTGGAAATAAGTTAGAGGGTAATCTGACGTATCAACACGGTAACGATGACTGTGCTATTTCTTCTTGATAAAAACTGAATTGGGTCATTCCACTGTCGTGTATGACACATGTCGTTAATGACCCGGCACTGGAGAACACTCTTTGGTCATATTTAGATGGCGAAGAGTCTAACCTGTGAAATGCACATTCTCAACAAAATTCCTCTCTTTCGATTTCGAAATCGCTCCCGGAAGAAATGCCACAACAATTAACTAGTGGAACTAAATCCAAATCAATAGATACGAGTATGTGTAACCATAGATTCAAAATTAAGCCACGTAAAGTGAAAGTATGAAAAAATAAAGGCAATTTTAAACAACACATATGAACGAATATATCTAATATAAAGGCCGGCCACATTCTGCAGGTGATTCGAGGTCAAGTATTAATATGGCTACTGTACCTTGTCGTCTATGGTCTTCTGTCGAGGCCGGTCCCCAGTGAGTGGCGTCGTTTCGTCTACGTCCGACATTTCTATAAATTCGTGGATTTAACGCTTTCAGAGACGAGTTTGGCGTATTGATTACTATTCACCGATTGTTAAAACACAGTGTCGAGGTTATGTTATTCTTGAAGTCATAACAATAAGGATATGCCACACGTACACGTACTTGGTTCGCATCTACTACATGTTGTCTTGGTATTTATCCATTTACACAAAGTAAGTGTCAACTTTTAGACAGATTGGAATCACTAATATTAAGAAATATTCACACAATCGTTCATTAAACACCGGTGTCGGTATCCCCACTCCAGTTTCAACAACAAACGAATAGTCAGCTGATGACCCACCGGGTAAGTTCAGCGCCCCCAGTTGGTTAAACTCTCGTCACCTTCCGTTTTTGTGAGGGTGCCATTACAATGATATTTTAAATCCGCCAGTATCAATTTTAATACTTCACACAAGAAAATAACAACAGCGCTGAAGACGACCAAACAAATGAAAAATGCTAATTAATTAAAATATGACCGTTCACAAATGAACAGAGCCATACAAATATCATACAAACGTATACTCTCTACTAGAAAATGTCCACAACAAGGAACATTAAAGGGCGGCAGTCGTCGCGCCGCGTCCTGTTCGATATGGGACTCATAGCGACGTATACAACGCGTGTAAAATACATTGTTTATTTACATGAAATTCGAACACTCACTGCGCGACGACCACCGCGCTTTAATACAATTAAATCTATTCACAAACAAATCAAAATCAAACCAACCAACCATGATTCAGAAAA